TGCAGTCAGAATCGCTTTTACTTCTGCTCATCGCAAAGCCCGTATTGCTTTAGTGTCGCAAACATATCCCATGGACAAGGTCAAATCCTCTTTACTGATGAATCTCACATAACTGTGTCACTCAATGATCACAGGATTCGATTTTGGAGACGACCAGGAGAGCGATTTATTGATGATACAATCCGATAGTTGGATCGTTATTAGTTAGTTACTTAGTCTTTCCTGTTGGGCTTAGGGCGGCGCATAGGGCAGAGGTCATAGCGCTCCATGTCTGGTGGTTCGTTGCCACCTGCTTTAGGTCTTGGACGTTTGTTAGGCTAATGGTTGAGCCTTCCCTGATGATGGTTCTACATTGTCTCTCTTGGTTTCTTTTCGCTTTCGGTGTGCATATGAGGGCTTGATGAGGAAGTCTTGTTTTATCCATGGCTGATGTAGTTCCAGCAGCACTTTCTTATAAAACCAATCAAATACCTTTCTTAAAGTCTGCATTCAAATGAGTCAGATCTGTAAAACTCAGGGTCTGGAACAGGACTAGAGTCCAGAAGTGGATGAAAAACTAGAACTTTCCACCGACTTCACAGCGGATGAACATGAAGAAATAAAACTAGGGATGCACAGGTGATGAACCACATGTGATGCACCAGAACCAGGGTTCAACCAAGATCTACACCTCTCCAGTCATCCTAGAAACGGTTTCCCCACTGCGAGCCTGGCTAACACATACGATTGACATTTCCTTCCAAATGAGAGTGTATTTACTTGAAAGTCAATAAACCAACAGTTTATACACAAATAAGCCAGACCTGTGATACAAATATTCACAGAGGACTAAGGTCCTAAACAAGACAAAAGTCCAGAAATGAAATTAGAACAAAGAGCCTTGTATAACATATATGCACAGCTAATGCCTACCTCGCTAGATCTACCACATTATCATGACCAAGTTGATTATCACACAGGAGTCAATGAGGAGCAGTAAGTTAAAATTAACGACAAAGAAAGAAAACCTCAATGTAAATATTGCAATAAAATTGTATTTTTCATATTTTTAAGCTTAGCACAAACATTCTTGTAAAAGTAAAAATGAAAATTGTAAAAATGTTGTTTACTTACAGATACAATTTTGATACATAGTAATTTAAGTCCTTATTTCCACACGTAAAGGATACTGAGTATATTAATGTGCTAGGCCAATCAGTTCTCGATGGCTTAGGGCCAATATAATGTTAGCTCCCTTTAGTTTAATCACTCGCTGTCATGGCTATACTCCTTCTGCCCTTTAAAACAAACTGTTATTCCTTAATTAAAATCAAGGGAAAGAATGCAATGTCTAACTGTCATCTGAAGGTATGAGGTGACGCCTACATACTTGAGTTATCGTAGAACAGTACTTGTGTGGCTGACCACAAGATATTGGAGATTATATGGGCACTTCCTTGGTGGGTTTCTTATGCCCCCATTTTGGGGGAAACAAGAATAGACCCACTGCCTAACAAGCAGGGCATATAAGTTTAAAAACATTCTTTTTAAGGAGGACTGTAACCTGAAGGTTTAGACCAAGTGATTCAAGGAGCCACTTTTCATGTGACATTCCAACAGGAACCCTGTTCGATTCAAGGAGCCACTACTTTTCATGAGAGTTTCTCAAAGTGACATTTTTATGTTCACTATGCCAGATTTCTACTAAATGACAATTTCAGTCCAAAATGACCATCAAAAATGCCAAGTAGAAAACAGATTTTTAATATATAAAGATGTCACAGAAAAATGGTCAACATATATCATGCCCTAGTACTATGGGTCCCATTTGATCCCCAGAGGGGTCCAAAGAACAAATCAAAAGTTCTGTAATGTCATATAGACAAGAATTCTAATAAAGAACTTCTACTTTGTTGTTTTGGGAGCCACCACTTGCCATCACATGAGTAATGGAGCTAAGAGAAAAACGGCTATCTAGATCTAATAAATGGTTCCCAAAACAAATGGAATAATCTTGTCTGCCCCCCATTCTGGCAGTGCTGGAAAGCCCTCATATTTTTCATGTTCAAAGTGCGTGTTGTATTCTGTGTCCATTATTATACTGGTCTATTTGAGAATTGCACTGTTCTTTCTCAGCCACTGAGATCATTTTATACTGTCAAAGAAAATAAGATAACAAGACATCAAAAATTACCCTGGTATATCGTAGAGCAGCTTTAGACAAAGTAAACAAAGATCACCAAATGTGTATTAGAACTAGAACTAGGGGTGTTAGCAAATATAAGGTTGACAATTGGAATGAATATTTGATAGCATAATCTCCTATGTGGTTTTTCAGGGCCTTACTTCAGGATGACAAATGAAAACACCAGCAGGGTTCAGCTGAGTAAAGATTCCACAACACAACTCTCTTGACAAGCACATATTAGCTCCGTCTCTCTTCTAAACAGCCAGCAAAGAGTTTCTCTGCTAATGGTACCAGTCAACTGGTAGGACAGAACAAACCTACCGTCCCTTAACAAGCATACCATAAAAGGCAACTAATTAAGGATTTGTCAAAATCGGATGTGTTGGGCCAAAAAGCGTAGATATCACAGCAAAGCTGTATACTACAACACAGTATGCCAACTGCCTCTATAAGGGGGAATGCAGAAGATAGCCTGATCTCTTTTTTTTTTTTTTTAAATGTCACAAACACTCAACCATTTAAGCAGTAAAGTAAAGGACCCATTTTCAGCCTGGGATAGAAAGGGCATATGGTGCCAGCCTCTAAATTGTACACACAAGTGGCACATCAATATCATTAAAACTTTAAAAAAATTTACTTATGGGCTGTGCAAAGTATTTCTTTAGTGGGAATTCTGTGTTCATGGTTTTTCTCTCCAAAGACTTTTCGGGGTGAAAGATTTAAATCATATTACAAAATACTTTTTAATTTTATCAGCAAAGGCTTGCATTATACCACTTGCCTTGGGTTATACCACTTGCCTTGGGTTATACCACTTGCCTTGGGTTATACCACTTGCCTTGGGTTAATCCACTTGCCTTGGGTTAATCCACTTGCCTTGGGTTAATCCACTTGCCTTGGGTTATACCACTTGCCTTGGGTTAATCCACTTGCCTTGGGTTATACCACTTGCCTTGGGTTATACCACTTGCCTTGGGTTATACCACTTGCCTTGGGTTATACCACTTGCCTTGGGTTAATCCACTTGCCTTGGGTTATACCACTTGCCTTGGGTTAATCCACTTGCCTTGGGATATACCACTTGCCTTGGGTTATCCACTTGCCTTGGGTTATACCACTTGCCTTGGCATGTGGTGCTGGTCTATTTTTAAAGACCAATCAAACATGTAATGTGGTCAACACCACAGACACAAATATAAAGACAATTTTATTTACAAATCAATTATTTTACAATATAAAAAAAAATCACATTAAAATGTTGATCACAATGATTTGCAAAAGCAATCTCTGAACTGACAGGAACTGTTATCAGGGACTCAGCATGTAGCTCTCATGGACAGCCTAGACTTATTCAGTACAATGCAGCTTATCATATAAGTTCATTAATAAATTTCAAAGGCTGCACATTTTAAAAAACTCTATCGCAGATTTTCACTTCTGCATATCTATTCTTTTAATTTTGGACTCAAACATTGGATACTTTGAAGTGTCATTTCTCAGGACATTAAAGTAATTACAGGCTGGCCCCGAATGAGTAATAACCATAAATTACGACCTGGTGCACATTGTTGACATCAAGATCTTAAGGTGAAATATCTGAGTTAGATCTGTACCTACCTCACTCACTGTCATATTAGTGGACTTCAATTTTTTAAATATTTTTAGGCCCGAATACTGATTGGCCACAATTTGTGGTAATTACAATCTGCAGGTTCACACAAATCACAGTAAATTAGAACTCATCACAAATTCAGCCACCATTCTAATCACAAAATTTACAAATGCTATATTTTTTTTTAAATCTACATACAAAGGAAAATCCATGAACATTATTTATTAGTCTTTGTGTCAAACTTTCAACATCTTCTTCTTCTTCTTCTTCTTTCGTTCGCCTGAAATAAGTTGTCTATATCAGCAATTTTGTCTCTTGTATAAATTTCACTGTTGTTGTTAGTTCATTCAGTGGTCCATAAGCATCAATGTGACATTTGACTATGACCATCAGCATGTAACACTATAAAAAAAATTTTTTTTTTACATTCCTAGTGTCCTAAAAATAATTATTTAATCTAACAGGCTTGTGAAATATATATAAAATTCAGAAGAATAAAAACATATTTTGCAGATAAATACTTGTTAGGTGCTCTCATTATGTGGTTTGATTTTTATGAAATTTGATCACAAACACATTTCAGCTCTTTCAGTACTAAAGGTTTCACAGAAGATGTGAAAGGGGGAAAAAAATCATGAAAGAAAAGCAGGAATTCATTACTTCCAAAGTGGCAACACACATACTGGCAATAACCAATGGGGAAGCCAGACATCTTTAGTATGTCATTAATTTTCAAGATAAAAGAGCATATCATGTGTTAATGAGATATAATTGAACAGAGTTACTTATACATCAGGCTTTTCTTGAGACTGAAAGAGTTAATGTACTTGGGCATACAATTCTTCAAAGCTCAACTTCTGAGCTGAAGAGAGAGAGATACTTCCAATGTCATGCTTATTATGGCCATAAGGAACGCTTCATTTGTATATATCACAGCATTTTCATTATGCAACAATTTAGTGATAAATAACATTTGAGTGTATGGTGAAATTAAAGATAGAAAATGTAGTTACAATTTACATAGGAAAATTTCGGTTTTTAAAACTAGTGATACTGATTCTAATAACATTGTTTACTTTATACAAAAAGAAAACACAAACAATTTTTTACACACACACAAAATAACTGATTATTAATGTTTAATTACTATCTTGCTAAGTTAACAGAAAATTTATGACAGCACGTATCGATCTTGAATGGTGTCTAATGTCCCCGAACATTTCAAGCTGACAAATGTCCATCCTTTTTAAGAATTGCTCTGAGATTGTTGAAAAAACCTGCCATAGATGAAGGAATCGCCGCATCGACTAATGACCTTGGCAGCAAGCCTTTGATGTCTGTTTGAATGAAAGTCACAAGTCGGGTGTGATTCGTTTGGCTGAAAAATAAAAAGTATTTGTTCTCATTCACAGTTTATTGTCAGCACTAAACATAAAAAAAAGTAACAAAAGGACCCTTGATATTCTAAACAATGTTTTCCTGTGATGAATTTTAAATAATGGGGACACAAACAATGCACTGTATCGCTGTATCTCGTCAGGTGTGTTACTACACATTTACATCAACGTACAATGAAGCACAAAACCTGAATAAATTCCACTGATACTGGAATGGTCTTTCTTGATGTATCATGTCCGCCTAGTTGTCAGAAGCTCACTGAAGTCATGCAACTTACTGAGGTAACATCAAATTGACTATAAATTCCTTCTGCTTATATAAGAGGGGGTTATTAATTGTTAAAGCTTACCAAGTGACTTACCAAGGTAACTTCAAATTGACTATGAATTCCTTCTGCTTACATAAAAGGGGGTTATTGATTTTGATTAAGTAAAGGACTATTTTCCACGCCTTTAGGCGTATAGGGCTAGACCTATATTTTATAGACCAATCGGCAAAAGATGGGTAATGTGGTCAGCATTACGCCAGCCGCCTTTACTTCCCAGGACTACACTTGGTACCTACTCAAGGCTGGGTTGACCTGGGAGCCAAGGTCATTTTTGAAAAAAGTCTGGCTCCACCAGGGAGCGAACCCACTGCAAGCGACTAGCCGCTCCGCCAAGGCGACTCCCCCATGCCCCTTGCATGTCCAGAATCAAGCAAATGATGTCCTATAGAAGAAGTGGCTTCTTTCTTCTTAACTGGTCTCAACACCCACGTAGAATCACTCAATAGTGCATGTAGCCATTTGGGTATATATTCTACCACTCTTATTTCCAAGTTATCTCTCTGTGTGACCAATGTTCAAATAGTGCTTGACCCATATTTGATATGGCTGTTGCACATTACCAGGATTCATCATCATCGTCATGTAGCAGGTCCTTTAAAAACATTTGCTGTCATCGCACCCTGCTTGAAAACAAAAAAAAACTTGGTCTCTTGCCAGATTTTCCACCTTTTGCAATTTCATAACCATGGTGTCACTTATATCCTTCACTACACGCTGATCAGCCCCTTTTTCCTGGCACCATGCCATCATGATCATTTTCTTGGGATAATAACGTGCTAGTCTGCCCCTTGCTTTTCCACAGCCACATGATTTTGCCATTGACAACCTTTCAAACTGGCAGGCCAAGCAAGTGCCCTACTCTGTGCTACTCTTGCACACAGCCGAGGACATCCCTAGAGGTGTCCACTTAATCCTGTGTACACCTGGTCCCCATAGCTATGCTGGCCATACCGGTGGGTTTACTATCCTCTAATGAGTGGGTTTTCCCTTCAAATGTCATCTCTCAAAATTCTCCAGGACTTTCAGAGGACATTACCAAGATTAGATATACATGTTAATGAAAGGATGCTTTTCATGCCAGCGGCACATTCTGCTTCTGGTTATTCTTCTTGTTCACTGGCTGTAAACTGCAGCAGAAAGGTCTTGTTGTTTGTCCACCTCTGGACCTTATTCACATTGCCTGTTATACCTTATCTAGTCATATCTAAATTAGTATGGAAACACTTTGATGCTACTAAAGAAAGGGATGAAGCACATGGAAATCTCCTGAGTGTGGCAATGCAATCTTGATTCATTTATATATCTAAATCTCTAACGCTTCAAACATCAACAGAGCTTCTGCATAAACTCAGTTCAGTACTTACTCTGGGTGAGACAAACACTTCATGCCACATGGATGATTGAAGCCTCGAACAAATTTGCCATCTGGAGGGTACTCATCTGTTTCAATACTAACACCTGGAAGATACATTTCTATTATTTCTATAATAGTTTTTTTAGACCATTGTTTTTCAGAGTGATGAAATACTTTTCATAGTAGTAATGATTTTACAGTAGACTGATTAGTGAGTCGGAAAGTTCTTCCATTCATGAGTGTAATGAAGACTACTGCTTTCAACCTCTGCTGCCTGAAAAGTAGTAATGATCAATGCCGTATGAGTACGAAGGTCCTCCTGGCTGATTAGTCCAATATGAGTCCGGAAAGTTACTTGAGCATCACATAGATAAAAACATAGATAAAAACAAAAAATCCATTGGCAGTTGGAAATTGAAAAAGAGTAGCCTCATGGCAATGCCTGGGTACAATTTGGAGTTAAAAATCTATCCAAAGTATTTCAGGAACCTCACTGGTGTTACAGAGTTCGTGCACTGCGCCGAGAAACTTCGGACTCAGGCTTGAGTTAGAAGTAGAATGGAGTTCTTATGGGTTGCTTAACTTGTGCCATGATGTTGATCCCTCTTCTTAACCTGTCTTTCAAAGGTTTGTTGCTGTTATGTTGTGGCTTACTTCTCCTTTACAGCTAGTTTTTGTATGCTCAGGTGAGATCATTAGGTAGGCTGCCTCTACGAATACACATGCCAGCTGCAGATCCTTCATGGTGCCCTATAGCTGGCTGTATACACTTTGCTCTTGAGGCCGAGTTTTCGTCGTAGTTGCAAGTACAGTTTTTATATAAGAATATAAAAGCTGCAATATGTGTACCCTCTGGCCCAAAACACCTAGAAACCCCTAATGTATTGTCTTTTAGGACATAAGTTTCAGGTTTGGTGGGTCTATTCATTTTCCTTCAAAGCTACAAGAAACATTTCTCACCATTTGTTGATATACAGGTCTCTGTCTTCAAAGTTAAAATTACATCAACAAAATCTCTTGGGGCGATCAGTCCTTTAGCAGCACTGTTTGTAGACGAAATCATAATTCGAAGATCCTGAGAAAATCAGATAAAATAAATTATTTACATTGCATGTGGAAATTGTTGCACTGATTCTGTAAGTAAAGTAAAAGACTTTTTTCACGCCTTAGGCATATAGGGCTAGACTTACAAACCACCCGGCACTCGGTTGATGATGTGATCAACATCACGCCGGCCACATTTACTTCCCAGGACTTTATCTGGTACCTAAATAAGGCTCGGTCAACCTGGAAGCCAAAATCCTTTTTGAAAAGTCCTGTTCCACTCAGACAGAGACCCATGAACTTTGGATCCGCAGGTGAGCATCAAGCTTTTGCCCTTGGCAGCTCCCCACTGCTATTGCTAGTTTTAAAAAAATGTACAAAAAAGGGACTTTGTTACACCATTAGTTAATCAGGCAAGTATTTTAAAATACCAGTACGCAATGGCAATTGTGGTCAACACTTTGCTGGCCCCCTTTACTTCCCATGAAACTTCCTGGTACCCATTTTAGGCTGGGCCAACCTGTAAGATCTAGGTCAATTGTATAAAGCTCCCTGATGCAGATAAGAATCAAAATCCTTAGCAGGCAAATTTCTAGCCCTTGTGCTACTGTGAGCCCAACAACTGACACTACATCTGCCATTTAACTCTTTTGGTTCCACACACACACAAAAAGCAGAATGTTTGAGTGCATTTACTCACATACACCAGTAAAAAAAAAACCACTATGCTTGTAAGGTTTATGTTTAGATAGAACACAGTAAAACGTCCAACAACACAAAAGACTCCTTTATGGGTTGTGCATTTAGCTCCTGGAGATGTAGCATACCCATGATTTTGTTGTCATCATTATTGCTTCACTTGGGCATCATCCTTTCCCGTGTGGGTTCGGGAGCTCCACTGTAGGGAAAACAAGAACAGGAAGAACAGGTCCACTGCCACTCCAACAGGTCCACTATGTTGGACCAACAAGCATGTCATAAGAGTCAGCTAACTGAGAGTTTCCTTCGCATTTGGAGTGCATCTGCCCAAGCAGCAAGTGACAGCCAACTGAACACAAATAAGCCAGTAAAATTTATGTAAACGCAAAAGTCAGGCCCTGGCACAAAGCCAAAGTCCAAATGGATGAACCACCAGGACTTTCTGCCGGAGGTACAGCCGGTAAACAAAGAAGATCATATCTGCATCAGCAATGTCCTTCTGGGACTGGAAAAGTTTAACATTATACATGCTTCTGTCACAGTCAGCATCTGTGGCTTAGGCATTGCGAACATGCTTCGTAATTCCGGGGTGCCAGGTTCGATCCCAGCTGAGGGGCCTTGCACCGTGCGTTAGTTTCGACAGTGGTATCGAGAAGCAGACTGTCCAGAAAGCAATGGCAAACTATTGGACGTAGACTAGATAAAACCACAACAGCCACAAAATGCTGGGGTTAGTTCTGCAACGGCCTGTAAAGGATATGCAACTGACTGTCATAAAATGAAAACATCTGATTTTTCTAGACTGCTGCATTGTTAAGATTGAAGCGGTTGCAAAACAACAACCCCGTTTATCAGGCTCTGGCTGACATGGCAGATGACAGAGAAAACAGACCATTTCCCTGGCTTTTAGAGACTGGTATTAAGAGTGGCACCATGGGAGAAATTGTGGCCTCATGATGTAGTCATTCCATAGTTAGCAGTGGATATACTGCAGCTAACCTCCACTATAAAGATGGCACCCTTTTTCGTTCTTCAAATAATTGATCTTTTCTCTTCTTATTGTCACATGCCCTTGATCCTTATAGCTTTTCAGCTTTTTATTCTTAAAGTTCATAAAGTGTGGCATTGGTAGCTATGCTATCCACAACCTTCTGTCTTGTGTACTTTTAATCAACTCTGACCCAGATGATCCTCCATGCTATGATGTTACACTGTCCAGCTTCTTTTCTCTTGGTCTCCCACTGCACCCCCTCCTCTCTCCTCCAACTTTCCTACTGTCACAACGTACTCATTTTCTCCTTCTTTTAAGCTGAGCTACGATAAATCTGTCATCACCGCTACCAGCAACACGGATCCATTTTGTAAGGGAAATTCTATCAGTGTGGGATCAGGGGTCTCACCGTGACGGGGAAAAGGAAATAGTCACACTGACTCCCTAACAAGTATGTTGTAAAAGTCGACTAATTAGCGCTGTTTCCTTCCAAACTGAGGTGCATCAGCCTGATGGGCAAGGAATCAACAGTGATACAAATGAGCCAGAATGGTAAAACAGGCATGTCTACGAAAACTCAAGTTCTCGAACAGGATCAGTCCCAAACATGGAGCAGAGGAATGATTACCCATGCCACTCAGACAGGCACTGGATGATGGTGGTGATGAATTGTACTATAAATATACACAATCAGAAAGACAACTTACTGGATCAATCTGCTTCAAAAGCTTGAGATTCTTGATATCCTTGTCCCACTTCACTCTCAGACATTCTTCACCTTCATTGGGGTCAATATATTTAAAGATGATCTCTTTTGAACAGTTGTATTCTGACTGCCCCCTATATCTGAAGGAAACACACATCTTAAATTTATGATATTCTGAAACAGTATTTAAAAAATACCCAAAAGCTTATGTTTATGTGTGTGTGTGTCTCCACTCCTTTTGTGCAAAGCCTTCCTATCATGTGCCATCTTATGCAGGTCATTTCATATTTTTTCCAGTCTTATTGTGTCCAATTATTTTCTCATGTTATATTGTGCTATCACAATCGATGCCACTGCACAGTGGGCTTCCATGCGTGCTCAGGCCTATGATGCAGCAGCCACACTAATGTATCTCTACTGGTTATTCCTAAGACGAGCTGGTTATAATATTTCCTATCTCAGTTTCAAAGATGACATACACATGCTTCACCATGCTTAACTCCGATGTTGCATTGTGTTAGTGTCAGAGATCGGTCATTATCCACTTACCAAGCTCTATTTTCTGTGTGCTTTGATTTTTAATTGTATTATACAATGTATGAGCACATTATCTGGAGTTAAAAATCTACCCAAAGTAGTTTAGGATCCTCGCTGGTGCTACAGAGTTCATGCACTGCGCTGAGATTCCTCAGACTGTTGATCTGTTGTACAAACCATTAGCCATTTATGGTGGTGCTAATCTGTCTGTCTGTTCATTACCCACCACGCTGGCACATGACCATTCCAGTGAAGCTTGCCACTCTGCTCGAAGCATCAATGTCTTCACCTTTTTTAGCATGCTTTCAGAGTCTGTTAAATTATTACATGCGCATTTATCTTGTTCTCTAGCAACCGGAGAGCTGTACTGTGATGTCATATGCTAGGCTGTCTTGCACTAAAGATTTTCCATTGGCTTTCGCTATGAACCCTCAGGCACCTCTCTTTCCTCTCTCATCAACACTGAACTTTCTTTATAGATAATCAGATCACCTGGGCTTGAATTGTTGTGAATCAACTGTTGGACTTTAACCTCCATAGAACCCGCTGGCCACTCTCTGCACACCCAGCCCAACTTCTCACATGTGAGCCTAGAGTTACAAGTACTCTGCCAGCCACTGCTCAGACTGCGATTAAACCCTCAGTCATGACAGGATTTGTATAACACAAAATCACAATCCGCCAACAACAAAAAAACAATCAACTGCTCTAAAATAGTGCCATATAAGCTATTATTCTATTATCGGATCAGATAACAAGTGCAACTATCAAGAACATATATCTGTACTTGACTGAACCATAAACTCCCCCAAGCAACATTTAAATGGGTTATCTCATGACTTTGATAACAGCTCAATGATAAAATTGTAGCCTGATTATAGTGCACATGTCAGTTAGTATGTGCATGAAGGTTGTACAATAAAAATCTGTAGATGAGCTATATTTTTCAACTATTTCACAAATAACCTATATATATATATGGTAAAAGTAAAGGATCCTTTCCCATGCCTTCATGCGTACTGGGCATAAAGGGCTAGACCTATATTTTATAGACCAATCGGCACTGGGTGGGTGATATGGTCAGCATAATGCCGGCCACCTTTACTTCCAAGGACTTTACCTAGTACCCAATTTAAGGCTGGGTCAACCTGGCAGTCAAGGTCATTTTTAGAAAGAAAAAACCTGGCTCCGTCAGGACATGAACCCACGCCCTTCCGATCTGCAGGCTAGAGTCTTGCTGCTACACCATGG